GGAAAATATGGTTAACAGTGTTTACGAGTCAAGGAAAACAATAGCTGTCGTGTCTAAGAACTTTTTTAATAGCAATTATTGTGTTTCCGAAATGGAATACGCCCTCCATCGACTTATGGAAATGAGAGATGATAGTTTAGTCGTTATCAAACTTGATGACGTCGACAAAGGAAAACTTCCTAAGGAGCTGCGAAAAAGAAGCTATATAGACTATCAAAAAATTGTTGAAAAGAGCCACTGGGAGAAAAAACTGGTCAATTGTTTAAAGATCCCCAACGATCCGTAAAAGGAAACGATTTTGTAAGAAGCTTTTCACAACTAAGTAGCTGATTGATTTCTTTTTAACACATTTGTATATGCAGTCACTAACTCGAACCTTAGTGGTGTATAATTAAGTATAAAGGCATCATTTTGTATTTGTGTAGAATGAATTTACCTGCTTTTATTCACTTAGGCTTCTTTGGATCATGAAATGTTGATGTAAAATTTGAAACATTTATACATTTTAATTATGTTTAAAGCAATCTTATGGAAAAATCGAAGAGCATGGTATCGAAACAAGAGAAGGCCATTGAATTAGAACTTTCAGTGGTCACATTTTCGAATCACAAGATCTTGTGAGACCTTTTATGAAGTCATCTTATTTAGCATATCATTGAATAGCTTATTTTCATCAGTCTTTTGGATTTTTACGCACCTTTTGCATAACCAGACTTGTAAGATTTCAACTTGTTGCATGGGAAATAAAAAACTCATGGTTACCAACAGATATATTTTCTTCATACTTTGAGGTTTAATATTAAGAAATCGGGGCTCTTTGAAAAATACTGATGTCGTGAACTGAATAGAATTTTAACGCGTAGAGGAAATCCCGGGGTGACATGAGTAATTTACTTCATTGTCAATAGGTTGGCATCTTTGCCGGGTCCCAAAAGCTTTTGAAGAGTTGTTAAGAAAAGGAAAGATACGACTGCTGGGTCTTTGTTTCCTGTTGTGAGTGATTTATTTTCTCTGACTTGTTGCAGAGAGAATTTTCCCTGCATGAAACATATTGTGCGATACTTTCCATTTCATCACCAAAATATTTAAGCGATAAAAACTATGAATATGATACTATGTGCTATACTATCTTCTTCATGCCATGGGGCACATAAGGCCTCAACACAATCCCGCCAACCAGCTTTGTCAGCCGTTCTTCCATCCAGCTTTTTCTCTTTCTCTCTCTGCTGTCTTCCTCCATGTTGTCTTTGGTCTGCCCCGTTTTCGCCGCCCTTCTGGGGTCCAGACGCAAAGCAAAATTAAATTAAGAAGTTAGACGACATAGTATACAGGATAGTGCAAGTATCATGCACTTACAATGCTACAATAGCCCGGCTATTTATTCTTTGGCAAATAACATATTAAGTCATACAATGCAATGATGCAATAAGAACGTTTATAATGCTATAATAATCAAAGAATTTTAAAAACTAAATTTTTTTAATCGTTTCTGTTTGATTACCTGTTATTATCGGAGAAGTATTCTGGAGCAACAACAAGAAACTCTGCGCTTCTGCCAGAAATTTGAAAGTGAAACTGTTTTTCGATACCGGCCTTGATTGACCCCGGGTGATATCGCTGACAATATAGTCTTGCCTTGAGCAAACATTGCTTAAAGGGTAAAGTGCCATTGCAATAAATGAACTGGCTCACCTCCAGAAGAGATACATTTATCGGGTATATCAAGTATATGACGTATACCAAAACGCTCCTGCTCTGAAAAACAAGTTGATAGTCAGCAGTAACAAAGGTCCCAAAATGCCTTAATTACCTTATTTCTGATTCGTAATATACCTCTCAGTGGGGATCTTTGGGGTTTTCTGTTTTGCTGTTTTTTCCATTTATTTAGATCGGTTTTTGCGGTTTTGGTGTCAGCATCGGTTGGTGTTTTTTTTCTTTTTTTCGGCATTTGGTTCAGTACGGTTTTTGGAAGAAAACCCGCGGTTTTTCGGATTTGATATTTTATTCGGCATGAGAATATTCTGTTGCTATTCGGTTTCTTTGGGTCTCTGTTCGACAATTTTCATTTTCTGGGTGGGTTGTCACTTTGAACCCTCTACTGACGAGCTCTCTCAGAGACCACAGGCTTCGAAAAATGGCTGAAAACGTGGTGAACGTGTCTGCGTCGCAGTAATCGTGGACTGTATTGCTTTTCCTAAAAATAATCCTAAAAATGATTTTTTTATCATTCTAAGTGGGCTCTAAGCTCCGAAAACCATTATCAGTCACATTGATGTAATTAGTAAGTTCTTAAATAGCAATCGATACGCAATGTTAACATAAATAAATGGTATTTTTAGATTCTTTTAGTTTGGTTTTTGTAGTATTGTATTAATGTTTTATCTAGTTAATATTCTTAATCGTATTCCTGAAACTTTCACCTCTCAGTTTTGTAAAAACTAAAATTTTTTTAATCGTTTCTGGGATTTTCCGAGGTTAAAATATCTTTAAACGACGTTTCGACCAGTTTTACCGGTCTTCCT